GTTCCACAGTAAGGGGGAAGGAATCTAGGCCGACATGCATAACCCATGTCGACTAGATAGAATTTCCCTAAACAATAGGTTAAGTAGGCATGTATTAGTTTACGTTGTAGGGTTAAGACAGAATGGCTACCAAATTGTTGGTGGAACCCTCAGCCCGTCATCCCTCTCTAGTGCATCAGCAAGTATGAGGGAACAACCATATTCAATCACATACCGACTACAGATCCAGAGGTACCAAAACAAAGAGTAAGGTTGGAAGAGGAGAAGGGGTGCCTTTCATACCGTGAGTGCTTGAGCAGGAAGGACGAGCAAAACAAAGACAGGTGAAGCGGCTACAGATCTAGAGAGAACAAGAACTACACAACAATTAAATGGGCATTAGTACCTCTCAATATCACAGTTCAACAAATGGAACATGAACTAAAGAAAATCTAAACATGGATTACTTGCCTGCTCTCTCAAGAACGGGTGAACCAAACAGATCAGAGCCTATAGAGCAAACAAACTTCAATCAAACATGTAGATCGACAAGATTGAGTGGGGTAACAACAGATCGAGGATGGAATCGACCATACCTTGTTGGATTGGCTCGGGTCACTAGCGATTCCCCCCTCCAACCCTAATGCATGAAAAAATGTCACCGCATACGTAGAGGAGAGGAGAAGATGAGGGAAGGACATGGAGGATGGTGATGGAGAAAAGAGGAGGGAAGGAGAGGTCGGATGGGGATGGCTGACGGCTCACCTGCGCCGTAGGACTGGAAGAGGAAGACGGGAGAGTCCAAAAGTAGAGAACAAAGTCGACGAGCTAGGGTGAGGGCTGAAGGGGGCAGCAGTGGGGATTTATCTCGTGCCAAAAGGGGTGGTAACCCTAGCCTTCCCGCGCGAACCGCCCGCGCTCCCGCGCGAGCCAGGCTGCGAAAAAACGGAATTGAAATCCGTGTTTAGGGAGCCTGGCTCCGGACCCTTGCCTGCATGCCAATGGCTAGGCCTGTGGAGGACTCCAGGGAACCGAACACCCTTAAACTGCATCTCGGGAGCTAGGGACGCACGCAGCAAGGCAACCAAACAGGCCTGAATTCAGAGACGATAGGTCCTCTCCCGTGTACGTCTTAAACCTAGCCTCAATCTGCTGGTACTCACGTCGCCGACCATTTGCTGCTGCAATGGGAAAAAAACTAATCATGAATAGAGATGGCACGTAAACAAGCTGAAGATACTAAAACTGCATTGAGTCTGATGCGTACCTTAAGATCAGTGTAGTATGCCGCCTCATGGCAGAGTTGCTTGTTGGTGGCCGCCTCGTACCGGTGAATCAGATCGACCATGCTTCGCAAATAGCAAGAGTGGAGTGTGTTAGTGTTAGGGATTTACAAATTACAAGATTCTGGGATCCTACTTTTTGCCAATATATCATAATATTATTCATAAGTAAATTTGGAAGAACTGATCGGTGTGTTCTAGGTTCTACAACTGCAACATTTGAGAGTGAATGAAGGCTACAAAAGGAAGTTTGTGGTGTCCAAAAACATGATCACGCATGTGTCCAAAACTTACTTAACGAACTCCAATCCAACGACAACATCTCTATTTACCTAACCTAGCCATTTAAAGCCTTGCGAGAAATCAGTGACACTACCGGAAACCTCAAATTTGCCGAGTGTTTTTATGTTTGCCGAGTGCATTCCCTCAGGCACTCGGCAAACAAATTCTTTGCCGAGTGCTATCCTAAAATCACTCGGCAAAAAAAAACACTCGGCAAAGATGGGGGTTTGCCGAGTGTCAAACAAAAAACACTCGACAAATAGGGGATTTACCGAGTGTCACAAAAAACACTCGGCAAAAAGGAAGGTTTGCCGAGTGTCCAAAAATAACACTCGGCAAAGCAAAAAAAATGTAAAAAACCCTACCCGCCCCTAAAATCACCCACCCACCCCTCCCCTCCCTCACGCACACCCCTCCTCCTCCCACCCGCCCTCCCTCCCCCAGCCCATTGCCCCCCCCTCCTCCCGCACCCTCCCTTCCCTCCCTCTACTTCCGCCCCTCCCTCCGCCCGCTCGGTGAGATCCCCTCTCCTCCGCCGCCCCTCCCTCCTCCCTCCTCCCATCGGCGACCGGCCCCTCCCTCCTTCCCCTTCTTCTTCCCGTCGGTGGTGGCCCTCCCTCCCTCCCCTTCTTCTCACTTGTGGCCGGCCCCTCCCATCCCTCCCCTTTTCTTACCCATTGGATCCGGCCCTTCCTCCCTCCCCTTCTTCTTCCCCATCGGATCCGCCCCTCCCTCCCTCCTCCCTTCTTCCCATTTGGATCCGGCCCCTCCTTCTTCCCCGCCGGATCCCGCCCCTCCCTTCTTCTTCCCCACCGGATCCGGCCCCTTCCTCCCTCCTCCCTTCTTCCCCTTGAATCTGGCCCCTCCCTTCTTCCCCGCCGGATCTCGCCCCTCCTCCCTCCCTTCTTCTTCCCCACCGGATCCAGCCCCTCCCTCCCCTCCTCCCTTCTTCCCCGCCGGATCCGGCCCCTCCCTTCTTCCCCCAGGATCCCGCCCCTACCTTCTTCCCCGGCACGACCCCTCCCCTCCCGCTTCCCGGTGCCGCCTCCCCACCGGCGAGATCCGGCGGCCGGTGCTGCCCCCTCCCTCCATCCCCCAACGGTGAGATCCGGGGAGGGGCCCGTGGCAGCGCACCCAGGCGGCGGAGGGATGGATGGCGTGGGCAGCCGAGCCCCCTGGCCGAGAGCGGCAGTGGCGTGGGGCGGCGGCGTGGTGGCCGAGGCGAATCTTGGCGTGGTGCGGGGCGGCGCGGCGTGGATGGTGGCGGCGGGCGTGGATGGTGGCGGCGGCGGCGATGCTGGTGGTGCGGGCGTGGTGTCGGTGTGCTTTTTTATTTTTTTTTGAAAAAAGTTTGCCGAGTGTTTTTTGGGCACTCGGCAACGTCTTTGCCGAATGTCCGACAAAAAACACTCGGCAAACTAGCGTTTTGCCGTTAAAGGGTTTGTTGAGTCGACACTCGGCAAACCCTTCTTGAAAGTGTTTTTGGGGCTTAGCCAGTGCCCCGGCACTCGACAAACTTCAAAGAAAACAAGTTTAGAAAATCACAAATCGCTAACATACCAAATTGGACCCAGTAATCTCCAACAGTTCTTCCCGTGCCAAGAATAAGATAGTAAACAAAGATTTTCCAATAACGAGCATAATTAATCCGAGAAAAACCTAGTGCGGTGAAAAGTACTCAACCAAAGTTGAAACCAATGACATGCGGTGAAATCGCTCAAGAAAGTACAAAGAAAGGTTCTAGTCATTCGGACCTGGGTGGCGGGGTGGTGTAATTCGAGACGAGCTCGTCGCTCTCGGAGAAGACGATGAGGTGACCTTCAGATGGCGAGATCAGGCCGAGCTCGTAGGCATTCTTGTTAATCCCATTGATGCGCCCTGCCAAGCTCTTCCGCCGGTTGTTCCTGTCCTCGATAAATTTCGTGTGCATCTTCACCATTGCGGCGCCACCTGAGAAGCTGAGAGCAACTAAACTAAAATGATCACATAATAATAAGCTAGAGAGGAGCCAGAGAGGTGTGGTTATATAATAAGCTAGAGAGTGCGAACAAAAACACTTTCCGGCCTTGTTCGGTTGGCTGGTGGCTGGCTGGCTGGCCAGCCCACTCACGAAATCACTGTTCACGTGTATAGTGTTTTCAGACAGAACAATATTTTTCTCTCACAACAATCAGCCGGAACAGTATTTTAGCTTATTTTTCAGTCCTGCCGAACAGGCCCTCCACCTGAGTTGCCTGTGGTTAGAGATTTTATTTAGTGGAGCATTGTCTTTATTTAGCCTGTGGGCTGTGGTTGTAAGTGCGATCAAGTTGCTACCCACACCTATGGAGGGTCTACAGTACACTGTACACCTATGGTTTTCCGCCACACGTCTTTATTTAAGCCCACCTCTCTGGCCTTCAACAATGCCTCCTCCCACCCTAATAAGGGAGTAACATAACATGAGAAACAATTTCTTGGTTTGTAGAGGATGTAGTGTGGCTTTTTGGTTGCGTGTGCTTACTAAACCTAAGGTCTAAAGGCCCCGTTCGCTTTGCTGAAAAATCAGCCAAAACACTGTTCCGGCTGATTTGTTGTGAGAGAAAAACACTGTTCCGGCTAAAAGAACAAGCTGAAAAAGTCATAACTGAATCAGAGTATTTATTTAGATTGTAAGCAAGCACTTAGGGCTGTACAAGAATTTATCCCGTCAACCATTTTTGCTTTGACCAACTTGTTCCTACGTCTCTAAAAAGAACCCAATAGTATAGAGTTTGTCTACTTCATATTCGTGTCACACCCCTCACCCACACCTGATTTTTTTCACTGTTTCTCTTCCTCCTCATGCTTCCCGCCGTTGCCGCCGCGGAGCTCCGGTGAGACCCTACCGCGCCTGCGGCGGCCTCCCTCTCCCCCTCCTCCCGCGCCCGCCGCCTTCTTCTCCTACTCCGACCGCAGCCATCTTCTCCAACTCCGGCGAAACTCCCACGTCTCGACTTGGCTCAACCGCCGCTACCACCGCCAGCTCCTCTAAACCGCCCGCCCACCATCCCTACCGCCTGGCCTACCTACTTCCTTCCGGCTGGCCCTATTTATACTCGTTGGAGTTGGAGAAGAAAGAGGAGGAGAGCTCGGTAGAACCCTAGCGGCCACGACGGGGCTGGGGAAGAAGACAGCGGGTGCGGGCGAGGAGAAGACAGTGTCGTGGGCGCAAATCGGACGGCCTCCACCGCTGTCCCCGCACTCATCGGATGCCCTAGAAATCACGTGTGAAATTTCCCCAAAACACTTGGTTGCCCTATAGCATTTCTGATAGTATATATGCACGTTCTGAACCTCGACGACGTTATCCAAGATGGTAGCAGATGGAAATAGCGCAATCCTATATTCAAAGTACTCCTAGGACGATGGGGCATACACATGCACGTCTCATCTTTTGACTTGGCATGCCTTTTGACTTCGGGGCCGCCGCCCACCTCATTGCCGGAGCGATGCACGAACATACAGCGGGCCATCCATTTTGAGCGTGAGCATGGGCCGGTAACCCAGGGTAGCATTGGCTTCCCACATCTCAAATCTGAAGAGGTAGAGCAGCACCGCCGCGAAGATCTTCATCTGCCTGTACGCGAACTCCTTTCCCAAGCAGACGCGAGGCCCCGCCTGTTCACACCACAACACAAGAGGCCAAACACGTCACATGCTGCATTTGGCCAAGGACACTGCAAGTGGCAAGGAGATTGATTGTCACAACTCAACCAACCTGGAAAGCCGTGAACTTGAAGGGGCTCTCGGGGACGAACACGCCGTCGTCGTCGAGCCACCTCTCCGGCCTGAACTCCTCGGCGTCCGCGCCCCACAGGAACTCCATCCTGCCCATTGGGTACGGCTGGTAGTTCACCATGTCACCTTTCTTGACAGCGTAGCCGTCCGGTAACGTGTCATCCGAAAAGCAACACTTCACATCCTGCATTTAGATTTTTTTATTTGATAGCAGGTCCCCCCAAAAAATCAGCGACCGTGACGCAGATAATAACAGTAACAGCACACGACGTACGGTGCCAAATGTGTTAGGAAGATGCCCGGTGTCCGGGTCAACTTACGATGGGCACAGCAGGGTACAGCCGGAGCGTCTCTGTCAGCACGGCGTGCAGATACTGCATTCTGCTGATGGCGTCCTCGGTTAAGAAAGCGACGAACTCCTGCACGCCGACGTCGCGGTCGCCCGTGGTGGCGGCACGGACCTCCCGTGCGACCCTATCCTGGATGTGCTGGTTCCGGCAGAGCACGTAGAGGAACCACGACAGGGTGCCCGCCGTGGTGTCGCGGCCGGCGATCACGAAGTTGAGGATGATGTCCCGCAGGTACTTGTTGTCGAAGCAGCCGGGATCGCTCTCCCGCTCCATCAGGAACCTTGACAAGATGTCCTCTTTCTTGGCCTGCAAAAGATAAACACCACCGTGCGTGTCAGTAAAAAAAGAAGGGGCCAGAGCCGCCAATCGAGCGGCCGAGCATCCAGATGGGCGAGGCTGCTGCAGAGAGCTCACGAATTCTTGTTGGTCTCTGCCCATCTGTTCGATCTTCCTGTCGATGACGCCGTACACGAATCCGTCAATGGTGCGGATCGACCCCTTCATGGTCGCCTCCGACGAGATATTGAGGAGCCTTTTGAGCTTCCAGGACAGGTCGAAGAAGCGGTACAAGACCTGCTCGCTGGCGTCGTCGAACGCCCTGGCGAACGCCGCCGCGCCCTCGTCGTTGCAGCCGGACAGCACGCCCAGGCCGACCCCGAACCCGACCTTGAAGATGGAGTCCAGCGTCGACCGCATCAGCAGGTCCGCGACATCCAGCCGCCTGTCCCCGGCGGCGGCGGCGGCGGCCACGATCCCGGCGAGCTCCGCGGCCGTGTCGCGGAACACGCCACTGCTGTAGTCGCGCAGCACCCGCGTGGAGAACTCGTGGCTCGCGACCTTCCGCTGGTGCTGCCACTTGGCGCCGTCCACGTTGAAGATGCCGTCGCCGAGGAGGTCCTCCAGCACGTCGTGCATCATCACCCCCTTGCCGTAGTTGGCGAAGTTGGTCTTGAGGATGTACTCCACGTTGGCGGGCTCGACGGTGTACACGTAGTTGCAGGTCGGGGTGAGCATGCGGAAGGTGCGGTACCTGTGGGCAAGCTCCGTGTGGTACTCCATCAGCCGACCGAAGTTGAGCAGCTGGTGGAACATGGTGCCCGCCACGGGCGGGTAGTTCCGACTCTTGCCTCCGCCGCGGCGCCGGCGAGCGATGTAGAGCGCTAGGAGGAGCAGGGGCAGCGCGAGCAGAGCGGGTGGTCTAAGCAGTGGCGAGTCCATAGCCGAGCTTGAGCTCTGGTGTCCCGGTACTAGGTGGGCGGCCGCTGCTCGCCGTGCGTGCTTGCGTGTGGGTTGTGGACTCTGCTCTGCCGGAAGGCGGATGAGCCTTTCGGAATGGATTGTTGAGACACCAGTGCCTTCGCGTTTTATTGTGAGGACTAGGTGGGGCAGCAACGCAGCCGCACAGGACAGGGCAAGGACCGGATGGATTGAGATTTGAGACACCAGTACACCACGTCGTCTGATCCAGACAAACCATCAAGAATCAACTGTTGTTGTTGCTGCAAAAAATCCTAGCAACCTTGTGGTACATATGGAAAGTTAGGAATGGCAAAAGATTTGGCAGGCAAACTTGGACTCCATGGCAGATTCACCGTCGTCGTGTTCGCTTGAGCTTATTCAGAATTACTTTTTAGTCATAAAATAATGTTTTTCTTTAACAATATTTTAACATAACCATCAACATCAGTCAAATTTTAATATCAGCGAACAGGGTGATTGTATCTTTGCTGGTGACGAACACTCCCAGCCACAAAAGGCTGGACTGGGAATCTTTATTGTCAACACAGAAATGCATCCGCCACATAACATTCAGGCCCGGTCCTGCTAATTTATGGGCCTAGAGTGACGCTAGAAAGATGGCATTTCATTACAATTATAATAATATATGCATAAAATTTCTATCCATCTCTGCTGTTTTATTTTTATTTTTAAATGCGTGTTTTTGGCAACATGAGAACACTGAAAATTTAGAAATTAGTAAGTACTCTCATAGTAAATCCAGTCACGTTAAAATAAGAATATGTCTAGGTGACATTCAGTTGTTTTGCCCCCTCATGTCAACTGAATTTTTCTCATGCACTTACCCTGTCATCTAGTTATATTTACACTGTCTTGTCACTATATTTACAACCGATTTCTTCAATTATAATTTATTGGACGAAGTGATGTAATTTTGGGGATATTACATCTCCTTCTATGAATTTCAGATCTCAGGTAAATATATGCCAATTTTTTCAAAAAAAAATTACAAATTATTTCTATGACCCGTAGATACCAGACAAAATACATGTCAAATTGTTCACAAATTATTGCCCAATTTAAGAAAAATTTACAAATCTTCACAAATCGCAGACGAGGGGGCGTGCCCGCGCAAGCGCCGAGGTTGGCTACGCCGGGGACGCTCGCGCTTGCGCCGGTGGGTGGCAGCAGAGGGAGCAACAGCCGATGCTCCTCGGCGCGGCGGAGGGGCGGCCTGGGGGGCGGCGGCGGTGGACAGCCGGTGCCGAGAGGGTGGCTCCGGACAGCACATGCCGAGGGAGGCGGTGGACGGCTGTTGCCGAAGATGCGGCGGCGCAGTGAGGGCCGGTCCCAGGGCGCGCGGTGGCGGAGGGAGGGCCGGTGGGGGGCGTCGGACGAGGGAGAACCGGGAGCCACAGCCATCGGGCGGACACCATCGGAAGATCAGAAAAGCTCGGTTGATACAAGCGTCTAAAACAATCGGTTGACGTATACCGTTTCTGTAAAATAAAAATGAGTGTTAGAAAATTACCAAGTTTTTTTTGTTGCGAGAGTTACCAAGTTGGCCCTGTTCGGATTCCCCGATCCCAAATTAGAATCTCAGAAGAGTCTTGTATTCTAAAGGGGCAAAGACGATTAGACAAATTAAACATTGATTAAACAATCAACAAAGGGGCTTAGGCAAGAGGAGTAATTGGGCACGGCACTTTACCTGAACACGTCTGGACGTGAGGATGTCTCGTACAGTCGTACTCGCTTGGCTGCGAATGGAGTTACCAGTCTTTCTAGATATACCCTCCATCTTTAATACTTATTGACTACGTAACGATTCGATGCTGTTGAAATAAATACAAGCTTGTAGTAAAAAAAAGGAACTTCTTTTCTGAGGGGTTGCGACGACAGCGAAACCTTTTCAATGATATCTCCATGCTCTGCAGAAGACTGGAGCTTACAGGATCATGTTGTCAACAGAATTCTTGTTCCGATTAGTTTCTTTTCCTCGTCTCTGAATTCTGAAACACGAGGGCCTCTTGAAAATTCTGCAGGACATAGCATAAGCTCCTTGACCGAAACAAAGGCAAAGATCTACTGCATCTAAGAAAAGCCAGGCAGCGAGTGGCAACAGTTGACGGATTAAAGTCCATCTAGAGAATTTTAGATGAGACAGATCGAGAAGAAGCGGAACTGCAAGAATTTTTGAAGAAAACAACACGACAGAGCCAAAACTGGAGGCGCGCAAATGTAAACTTCCATGTAAACCATCATCTGGATTCCTGAAGTCAAAGTCCATCTCACGAGCTTAGAAACTATCCATTGTTATCACACATTCAGACTTGCGATCTACTGATTGGGGTGCCCAAAAATATACTAGCTCATTGAGTGGCCCATTGAACATTCATTGAATCCCAAAGTCAATACACCAATAGTGCATAGGCAAACCAACTTAGAGCAAGCCCAATAAAAGCAAGACTAATAATGCAGCCGGTTTGCTGGCTATAAGATTTTTTATAGTCTTCTCTCAATCCACCCATATAATAGTTAGTTCTTCACTGTTAATATACGTTCCACCAGTCACTCTCACAAGTTTTTTTTGGTTCTTGTGCATAAACCAGCTGTAAGATTACAGCCCGCTTATCCTCTCTCTCTCCTCTCTTCCCTCCTCCACATCAGCATTTGCTTGGCTATAAGCCAATTATTCTACTTGCTCTTGAACATAAAAGTAGCCCCCTCTAAAGCCCAATTCCCAACACGCAGGTAGTGTACACGCGCACAACAGGTAATTTGTTGGCAAAACTCAATTCTAGATTATAGAGAGGAGATTCTCTAGCAGATTGAGAAAAACGACTGAGAAAGCCATATCATTTTCTTATATGAAACCCATAGGTTTGTGGCATCTCTCTCCATTCCTCTTTCGCTTCTCCCTTTCCCTCTCCCTCCGTCGTGGCAAGGAGGCGGCAGCGTGCGCGCTCGTTTGCTAAGCACGACGGTGGTGAGGACAGGCCACGCACCCGGCGTGGTGGTATCGTGACCAATCCGTGTGCTCGGCGCAGTGGCGGCGCGACCAGAGCACCACGACGATGCCTCTACCATCCTGGAGACCCAGATGTCAATGACAGGATGAGGGAGAAATGGGATTGAGAAAATCTGTGCCACTTCCCCTTTCTTTGAGGGATAGAGGAAAGTTTTGAGCGATTGAGAAAAATATAGAGAAAGGGCTCAAAAGGGAACGAGAAAGGGGATCTGTTGGAGCAGTTTTTTTTAACTTCATTCCACTATATCACAGTTTTTAGGAAGAGGGAACTGTTTTTCAAGTTGCTCTAACCTCTTGAAAATTTTTCCGTGTCTATCTTTCTGTTCTAATTCTTGTATTTCTTCTGTGTTGTATCCATATGCTCCATAGAAACTTTCTTGCATTTCCAATTCATGCGGGGTTACAAGTGACATACAACTCTAATCCTATGTTTTACATATCCTATATTTGAAGAAAAAGTCTGTTTTACCTTGCTGAATTATTGTCATACTCTACTTTTTATCATCGAACTTCAAATACAAATATCTTACCCGTAAACTCTTCAAATTATACAAATTACTTTACTTAAGTATGCCTTTTCAAAGTGGTTTTGATGATGTTCTTATCTTTTTTCTTTGAAAAAATTGTAAATACTTGATAAGGCTATGAGACGACAATAATGTCTCTAAGCTTCTACAAATTTGTGAAAATAATCCTAGAGATAGAGGGATATGATAATTAAAAAAAATATTTAGAGTTCATGAAAATATCTTTGGTAGCTTGAAAAAAATAGATTATCTCTACAAAGATGGAAAATTATCCCAAAAATTCTACGAATTCCAAAAACGCTAATTGATGTCTAAACGTGCTTTGAAAACTTTTCAAAAATAACAGAAAAGGAGGAGGGGGCCGTGCCCGCGCAAGCGCCGAGGATGGCCGCGCCGGGGACGCTCGCGCCTGCGCCGGTGGGTGGCAGCAGAGGGAGCAACAGCCGGTGCTCCTCGGCGCGGCGGAGGGGCGGCGGCGGTGGACAGCCAGTGTCGAGAGGGAGGCGGCGGACAGCACATGCCGATGGAGGTGGTGGACGGCCGTTGCCGAAGATGCGGCGTCGCAGTGAGGGCCGGTCCCAGGGCGCGCGGTGGCGGAGGGAGGGCCGGTGGGGGGCATCGGACGAGGGAGAACCGGGAGCCACAGCCATCGGGCGGACACCATTGGAAGGCCAGAAAGCTCGGTTGATACGAGCATCTAAAACAGTCGGTTGACGTATACCATTTCTGTAAAATAAAAATGAGTGTTAGAAAATTACCAAGTTTTTTTTGTTGCGCGAGTTACCAAGTTGGCCCTGTTCGGATTCCCTGATCCCAAATTAGAATCTCAGAAGAGTCTTGTATTCTAAAGGGGCGAAGGCGATTAGGCAAATTAAACATTGATTAAACAATCAACAAAGGGGCTTAGGCAAGAGGGGTGTCGGGGACCTAATACCAGGGTACCCCGGAAGGTGGAACCAATAACCATCGAACGTTAAAAACTTCTGGACGGACAAGGGCATCGCTGCGTTCCTTGCCCGAATGATGAAAGTTAGGTTCCGTCTCGCCCGACGCCTTTGGGCCAGCCCCGCCTCGCCCAAGGGCAAAGGGCTGGCCTCCGTCTCGCCCAACTCCTTTGGGCCAGCCCCGCCTCGCCCGAGGGCAAAGGGCTAGCCTCCGTCTCGCCCGACGCCTTTGGGCTAGCCCCGCCTCACCCGAGGGCTGAAGGTTAGCCTCCGCCTCATCCGAGGGCTGAGGGATACACTCCGCCTCGCCCGACCCCTGAGGGGTGGGTTCGGTCACGCCCAAGGGATAAGGACTGGGCTCCGCTTCGCCCGACGATCGAGGACGAACCTCGCCCCGTTCGATGTCCAAAGGCTGGTTTTATCTTACCTGATAACTTCTCTCCCGTTCCCTTATGATGATGGGTACAGTGCAAGACA